CTTGTAAAAAAGACATGTATGTAAAAAGGTGGTGTTATATTTCTATAAGATTAAAAAAAAAAAAAAAAGGAACACCCAAACATACCCAAACATACCCAAACATAATAACCCAACAATCCAATAATAACCAACAATAACCAAATAATAAACAATATTCAACAAATTCATTTTATCCAAAATCAACAAGGAAGAAACCCATTTGTAGAAATAAAAAGATACAAAATAATTGAAATTGACATAGGATCAAATAAATGTAAAAAAGGAAAATGTACATCGGAATACACAGAATATACAACAACAATAAGATACATGTGAATGTACATTACGTACAACCCTCCTTATATCTAAAAGAAAAAATAAACAAGTATAAAAAAAAAAAACCAATCAATAAAGCCAAATTGATGTAAAAAAAAAAAATTTGAAGAAGAACCAATCAGCCAATTTGGCAATATATATATATATATTTTTTTTTTTTATAATTCATTCAAAGATTTATCAAATTCATTTTAAATCTTTTATAGAATAAATCACACTAACCAAGGTCTCCAGACGCTTGATTTCTGAGAATCATCATTCTCATCATCTTGTTTCATAGCTTCAAGAGCTCTAAGGCGTTCCTTTTCTTTTTCTTCACTTTGAACAAATTCAGCAGCTGTAGCAAGAATGTCAATTGGAGAAGTTTTTGGTACAACAGGTGAAAGAGTTGATTGATTTTCAACAGTTGAAGAAAAAGAATGATGAGGTTGTTGAGTATTATAAGATTGGTGATGATGAATAGAGGTCAAAGAATGTTGGGTAGATTGATATAGATCAGAAGAAGGATGAAGAAGATCTTTAATTGGAGGAATTGGGGGTGGAAGAGTACAAGGATTAAGACCCGGTAACATATAATGAGAAGATGGAATAGGCGGAGGTAATATTGGAGCAGAAGTAGTTGGAGAGATAGGTGATACAGGTGAATGTGGAACAGTATGACCATGAGCACCATAAACATGATGTGTAGGATGAAGTTGATGATCTTGACCGTAAGAAGGCATAATTTTTATTGAAGGAGGCATCACCATTTTTTGAGAAGAATTATGGGAAGAAGTCATAGGAGCACCAGTAACAGTAGCAGCTCTTTGTCTGGTAAATGGAGAATTTTGCGAAGCCTTTTTTTGAGAATTAATAGTCGAAGTAACACAAGAATGTCTTCGATTATTACGACCCTTTGCCGGACAACCAGCTGAAGGACCACCATTTGTAAACATTGGAACAAAAGTGAAATTTCCAGGATTAATCATTCCAATAGAAGAAGCATGACCACTAGCAGCTTGAGCGGTTGAAACGGAATGATGATGTAAAAATCGATGATGTTGATGAGAAGCATTATGTTCATTTGCTTTAGCACGATTAGCTTTTGCACGACGATTCTGAAACCAAACCTGATAGTAGAATGAATATATGTAAGAAAAATATGTAATATAATAAAAAAAATAATAATAAAATATTTTATATTAATATATATTTAATATAAATATATATATATATATATATATATATATATATATATATATATATATATATATTATTTATATTAATAAATATATATATATATTATATATATATAAAATAAATATATAAAAAATATATATGTTTATTTTTTTTTTTATATATATATATGTACCTGAACTTCACGATTAGTCATATTTAATTTTTTAGCTAATTTTTCACGAACATCATAACTTGGAGTATCAGTTTGTTCAAACATAGCAACTAAATCAGCCAATTGTTCTTGAGTAATTCTTTTACGTTTAACTTTAGGAGGCATTGATTGAGAATTTTGATCAGAAGCATTTGGAGGAAATTGAAAATTAGGTTTTGTAGGAGATTTTACACCAGGAGTTTGAGGAGGAGTAATCATATTATTAATAGAATTATGATCAGAAGATCTATTCATTGAAGATCTACGAGTTGAAGGTAAAGAAGTAGAAGTAGATCTTGAAGAACCACCACCCAAATAAGTTGAATGTTTTGACAATGGAGAAGTAGGAGTCGAAAGAGAAGAATCGGAATTGATAGGAGTAATAGAATTTGAATTTGAATTTGAATTTGAATTTGAAGAATTATTATTATGATAGATGATGGTTAAATTATTATTTTCTGAATTATTTGAGACATCAGAAGATAAATTTGGAGCAGAATAACGTCTACAATGTTGAGAATTTTGAACATTTTGACTTGATGAAGAATTATAATAACCATCATCTAAATTTTCATAGTTATCAGCATTCGTTGATGAAGTTAATGATGTCGTTGATGCATTATCAGGTTCAGGATTTAATAAAGCTGATATGGGAACAATCGAAGGTCGATTAAGAGAATTTGTTCGCGAAGAGGTCGACGTAGAGTATTGATCATATACGTTTGACATTTTTCTTGATTAACTAAATGATTATAAGTATTACTAAATAAATGATACGAATAATAGAAAGAGAAACAAAAAAGAATAAAGAGATAGAATTCTTTCATTTTGTAAAAGGTGTTTTTTGAACACTTTACGCGTAAAGGTTGATAGAATTCGTAAGAATTTTTTAAACTCACTTTATTTTTTTTTTTTTCCTGCAATTTAAAACCAAACCAAGACGGAAATCTTTTCTTAAATAAAGCCCAAAGAAAATTTAGAGAGAAATTGGTAACCAATAATGTTCACTCCGGGAGTACAGAAAATAGAACGGTTGGTTCGTTCGTTCGTTCGTTTGTTTGTTCGTTTGTTCGTTCGCTTGTTCGTTCGTTAGTTCAAGTGTATGACCAAAAAAAAAAAAAAAAAAAGAAAAAAAAAAGAAAATATATAGTAATATAATATTTAAAAGAATACAAAAGAGTAAGGTCGGAACAGAACGACAGTAGAAAAAAAAAAAAAAATTTATCAGGTAAAAAGCACAGGATATTTTAGATAGAAAAGTTGAGTTGTGTAGCAATCAAACGGGCCCAGTTTTACAACGGTAAATTATAAACATCAGACATTCAAAAAAGAAAAAATTTTATGATCCCGAACAAGAAAAAAAGTTTAATGGATTTAATGAGTAAGAGAAATAAAAAAAAAATAGGGCAGGGCACTTTTTTTTAGGAAATAGGTTCAGATGTTAAAGTAGGGCCTACACATGCAGTGTGACCATAAACAAGAAAGGGAAATTGAAAAGAGGTTAATCGGCAAAAAGAGGAAAAGTAAAGATTAATATTATAAACATATGATAAATCAGATATGTAATTTACACATATTTCTAATCAACTATAATCAACTATAATCAACTATAATCAATTATAATCAACTATGAAAATTTTATTTATATACAGTTTATATTATAATTATAAAAAATAAATAAAATCAATCAAATAATAAAATCAATAATAAATCGCACACTAAAATAGACTAGATTGAGGCAGAGCGAAACAACAACATACAAGATGATTACTAGACAAGTGGCTTTCATTTAAATATTAAAAATTTAAAAAAGTTATATTAAAGAAAGTGGCAACAATCAGTAACAATCGTGAAAAACAGTAACACAAAACCCGAAATAGACAAGTGATGATGTATTTTGTATTACGTATTAAAGAAAAGATTAGACCTTATTAGGATTTCATGATATATTAAATGATCAAATTGGTTTATTCATAAGTAGAATTAAATGTCATTTAATGATATTTTTAATTACCAAAACTTTTGTAGCGGAGAATCAATTAAAAGTAGAGTCTAACCGAAATTAAATAGATGCACATAAACTGTACAGTGTACGTACTTTACTTTTATTACTTTTTTATTTTACTCAGTTACAGTTATTACTGTTACGTACGTACTTAATGTACTTAATGTACGTAAGTGATCCATGGATTCACAAAAAAAAAAATAAAAAAAATATAGAAAAAATTTAGATTGAAAATAGATATAGAATTTAGTAGTAAATAATAATAGATTTAGTAAATAATAATATTACTATAATAGATAATTATAATAACTAATATTACTATTATTATACGTAATATATAGATAACATACTACTATTGCAAATATATAACAAATAATAAATTATATATATACTATATAATTACTATAACAAATTACAATAATAAAAAATTATTATTATAACAAATTATATATCGATATATACTATATATCGCTATGTATATTATTACACGTATAGAGAAATAGAAGGAATTTAATTATTGGGATGAACTTACTTTAATCGGAGCAAAAAAGATGAACGAATGACCAACAGCCAACCGAAATAATCAGATGGAAGAATTACGGAAGATAAATATTTACCAAAAATAGAAGTATGAGTCACTTAAAAGTAATACATGAACAAGCAAGTAATTATCTAACATAGATGATATCTCGATATTTCGGATATATGACGAAACGGAATTGGAAATTATCAACATTAATTCTAAGGGTTAACTTTTAAAGGCAACGTCCAACAATCTGGCGTGACTAAATTTTACGTATTTTAATTAATTTAAAAACTAAAACTAGCATTAATAATAGGATTTGCGGGTTCTACCATTATAGAGGTCATTGTAAAATTTTGATGAAATAGATTGAAAAAAAAAAAAGAAAAAAAGAGATATTATTCGTTGATTAAAAATCAACACATGGAAATTATCAATTCATGACAACCAGATTTGGGATAACGGAAATGATAAATGGGAAAGGCGTATTTATGAGCACAGCCTTTTATGTTATTAACGAATTCGGATATAAACCTGATTGACAGGCATAAAGAACTCACAGGTCAATTGTCTCAGATGCGCCAAATGAAACGAAAAATGGAGTTTAAAAGTTAATTTAGAATAATTAGAACGATTGCAATCAAGCTATTGTACACTCGATTGTATGCGATAGAAGTGTAAGAAAATACAATGGTAAAAAAAAAAAGAATTTTCTGATTTTGGCTTTAAGTGAAATTAACAGGTTCATATTTGGAATTTTTGAGTAATTATCGGCTGACCGGAGTTTGATTTCCAACTTTTCGCTAATTTCGTAAAATTTCGGTTATTAACTTTATATATTATATTATTATAATTCATTATAAATTTCATTATCTGTTATATTACATTAAATTACATTAAATTACATTATATTACATTATATTTCATTATATTTCATTATTATTTTTTTATAATTTTGGTTATATACTGCTGCACTGCAGTGTTGAAAATACTTGTTTTAAAGTTTTAAAAAAAAGCATACCGACCGATACATTATCGGTATCAAAGAATTTAGTTTACGTATACGTAGTTGAACGTTATTAGTCATTAATTAATCTAAGATAAGCATGAATGAATTTCTTTGTTTAAAAATTTTTTTTATAATCAATTATTATCGTTATAATCAATTACTAAATTCTTTTTTTTATTAAAATGATAATTATAATGATAATTATAATGATAATTATATATAATTTTTTTTTTTTTAGAATTCTAATTCTCAAAAAGAAGATTACTAAAGTGTTTGTTGATCGTTCGTGTCCTTTTTTCCCTGATCAACAAGGTGAATGCCAAGTCCATTATCTTGATAAACGTGGCTAATTTTTATTTAATTCTAAATGATTCTAATTTCTAAAAGTTAAAATTTAAATTTGGATTGATGAATGTTTTTTTGATCATCATTTATTTAACCGAAAATAAAATAGAAATTCTTCTTTTATAATAAAAATGAGCGTGAAGACCTGCGCGAAGCATAAACAACAATGACAGGGGAAAAAATAGCATTTCATTACCAACTACTAATTCTGTTGTTCCCGTTAATTGTGACGTTTATAGCACTGCCTGGGTCACTAGTTGCTTAGCACATTGGCTTAGCTTATTCTCCTTTAATGGATAATCTTTTTGTTAAAAAGTCTTGTAAATTCCGAGGCTGAGTTAAATTGCTGCGCTATGTGGCAGTGAATTTACTCATTGTCGGTGGCATTTTTTCTTTTTTATTCATTGTTTTTTCTGCCCTTTGAGGCTTGTTATCTTGTTCATCATTGTTTATTCTTTCCCAATTAATTTCTAATCAATTTTTAATCAATTTTCGATGATATTCTGATAACGTACTCTATTCTGACTATTCTGACTATTCTGACTATTCTGATTATTCTGCTATTCTGGCTTAATGTCAGCCACAAACCTTTTCCTTTTTTTTATTATTCTATATTAAATAACTGTGCATACTTTTTATAATTATTATACGTAATGTGTATACGTAATGTATATAACTACCGTTACTGTAACTTTATTATTATTATTATTATTATTATCTATTATTATCATTATTATTACCAACTATCTACAACCATACTATACGTATTACGTAACTATTATTGTCTCTTTATTACTTTTACGTATTTCAATCGTCTCTTATTACGTTAATGCTTTTTTTGACCGTTAAACATTAATTATTAATTGATTCCCATCTTTGTACTGCCATATACGCTTAAACTTGCTTTTTAGTATGAATGCAATGTACGAAAATGTTGTGTAATAAAAGTTTATTTAAAAAAATTAAATTTATGCAAATATCGAATTGTTGATTTTTTTATTTATTTATTTATTTATTTTTTTTATTTATTTATTTATTTATTTACTTTTATTATATGATATCCTGATTTTCTTTATTCACCAACCAGATTTTTCAATTTCGTGTTCTATTCAATACCTTTTTAATTTTGTACAGCCTTTTTCTATAAATCATTTAAGGGTCTATCTTGTCAAATGTCTGATATATTTTGTAACTAATCTCTAAATGGCTTTCTAAAAAATTTTGATCGACATTTGATTGGCTTCACCTTTTGTACTCGGTTTACTTTTAATTGGGTTGTTATTACCTTGTTATTTCAAGTAATATTTACCTTGCTTTGGAAGTTCATATATTGATATATTTAGATTTCGTCTCTTAATGAAATATTACACCACTTTTTATGTGTTACCATGATTTTACCTTTTTGTTCATTCGTAATTATATTCTTTTATTATTATTATTATTATTATTATTAGACAAACAAATATTTCTTACTTACATTTACTGCTGTACCTTATCTGTTATACTGTACTGTACGTTTCTTTCCGATAATCTGTCTCCCCAATCACTTAGTTACAAATAATTAATTTCTAAAGAGCGAAAAACTTTAATTTTTTTCTCTCACATTTTTGTACTCATTTTATAAAAAAAAAATTTTTTTTTTCTTTTTTTGTTTAATTTTATCTTTTCTATTTTATCGTTATTAATTTTATGTATTTATCCTTATAATTATTCTTAAAATGGTTTTATCATAAAGTGTTCAAATTCATGCTTCCAATGAATTTTATTTCCATTGTCACCCCAATTAAGGCTCTTACTTCTTATATACTTTAATTTTAGTAAATTTTAATTACTTCTTTATATTCGAC